CCAAACAGACAAAGGATAATGCACATACTTTTAAAATCTAACTTTATGGTTTTGATACAAAAAAACAGTTTTACGATTTTAATAGAAAATGTTATTGGTTTGGCAGGTGAAAATATAATTTTAATTTTTTGGTAGAAAACCATTATTTCGGTTTGATGAAAAACATAATACTACAGTTATGAGTGAAAACATTATGTTAAGAATTTGACGGAAAATATAGTTTTATGATCTTAGCAAAAAAATATTATTTTACAGATTTGACAAAAATAAATAACTTTATGGTTTTGATACGAAACATAGGTTTATGGTTTTGACAGAAAAGGGTTATTGGTTTGGCAGTTGAAAATATAATTTCATATTTCTTGTTTAAAAAAACTTATGCAGTTTTGATGAAAAAGATAAAATATTATAGTTTTGATAAAAAATATAATATTACAGTTTGATGGAAAAACATATGTTACAGATTGACGGAAAATATAGTTTTACAATCTTGGCAAAAAAATGTAATTTTACAGATTTGACAAAAAATATAGTTTTAGTTTGAAGGAAAATGTGATTCACGTTTCTAGTGGAAAACATTACTTCCTTTTATGTTTTGTTAATCTTATTCTATTGTGGATGGTATTGTAATTTGTAGAAATATCAAGATATATACCCATTTTCTACCTGAGATGAGAGAGGGAATTGACTCATAGCATATAACGCAGCTCAGAGTCGTTTCTACACTCGTTGTGTGCAGATAAACAATGCTCATAAGTCATAATAGTCAATCCTAATCCTCTGTAGTTGGACGTCTAAAGCATGAAAACAAAGAAATCGTTTTGGTACGATTAAAAATATATTTAAGTGTATTATCTCTTTGTAAAAACAAAAAAAGACTTGCCTATAAACCATTACCAATACAAAGATTTTGATGATCTTAAATTTATACTCAAATCTGGCGTTGAAATTAGGATGGGCACTATTACTTGATATTCGGTTTATACTTCCTATTTGATTAGATTTACTTTGAAAAAACAAGTACTTGACATAATCAATTCGAATAACAAGTAAATGAATTTAATTACTTGTAAATACAAGTCAAGTATCAAGTCTACTTTTATTTTTAACTATTTGGTTTGTTACTTGGTTCGTTACTTGTTATCGATTACTTGTTTCGTTATTTGTTATATAATATTTACTTTATTTAAAATTTTGTATAGATTTTATTAGTTTAAATAAAAAAAATTGATCTATTGTATTGTATTTCCATCACAACTAAAAAAGAATTGTGTGTTTAATATTAATACTGAATTTGAACGGAAATCCAACAAAACTAAACTATTGGTTTTTGTATATTGTCAATGCCTATGGATATTTTGTCTTTAGCTTCTATTTAAAATACTTACTAACTTATGTTTGGAAGTTTGTATGTATATATGAAATTAAGTTTTGGATTTCAAATACTTCAAGTAAAGTATTCAAGGAAAATAGATTAAATAAATGAAAAGATAAGTATCAAACCAAGTTAAATACAAAACAAAATCAAGTAATAAACCAAGTCAAGTAATATACAAGTATTCAAACAATTTACAAGTACTTAATATCACAAGTGCTTATCTAGAATAAGCCACCTACAAGTAAAATTTACAATTGCTTAAACAAACCAAGTCGGGTAGCCAGCACTTTAAAAATACCAGGTACTTGCCTTGTGCCCAGACCTAGTTGAAACTGACGTTTCATGAGTATTTTCTTTGTTGTAGCTGTAGATAATTTAATTGTAAAATTTTGGCTATGGATTTAAAAAACAAATTTATATATAAATCTTCTAAAGTAAAAATTAAATGCTCAAGGTTTAGTGTTTTCTATAGCTAAAAATAAACAAAAAAAGAAAAAAAAAATTCTGTAATGTTAAAAAATCTTTATAAAACATGATTTGTAAAATTTTTATGATCTAGAAGTAATTTTGAGAGTGGAAAACTTCTACAGCAAGCCAATCATCCCCTATATATTAGGGAAATTTGGGCTAATAACAATTACTATTGGAAAAAAAAACTCTATACCCATAATAAGCCCATGGGTAGGGTATGATACATAATATTGCATATAATAGCCATTATACCCTTTACCTGCGCGTGTATATCTTCTTCTCCCTCATTCCGTAACCCTAAAAATCATTAATATGTTTTCCGCTTACAAAATTACAGTAACCAGCGGTTGAGGCTTCAGACTTCTGCAAACGATTCTTACGGCGGAGAAACCACAGCGGAGAGGACGATGGCCGGGAATTAGTTTCTCTAACTAATTGAGACGGAGTAGGATTAAGATTCGTTGGAGCCGAAGTCATAAACATCAACATCTGAAAGGTAAACCTTGTAATTACCTTTACTAAGTACTCGATCTTACTCCCTCCAGCACAATTCCGGAGATTGTGTTAGAAGATTGTGTCGATAATGATTATATTTTTTCTTTCCCCCAAAACTCAGTTGCATGTAGTCTGATATACCTTATTATGACAAAAGTGAGATTATTGTTGGTTATGACTTGTGTTATTGGTTGAATATTAGTTTTCGGTGTTGCCGGAATGTATTTCAAATCTGGGTTTCCGATTTGTGGTTCTCGGACCAACTGATGTGTTGAGGATAATGATGTGTCTATAGATATGTGTTTGTAGTATATAATATTCGAGTTTTGGGGTAGTATAGGAGTAGACTTTGGTTATTACATTTTTTCGAGAATCATGATACAAGTATAGGACTAGACTATGTGTTAATAGTATAGACTGTTTGACCATTGTGGTAATAGATTACTATTGGTTTCTTGTGTTAACATGTACATATGCACATAGATTTCTAACCTCATGAATCTAAACTATTGTAAACCTAGTATAGTATATATGTGTCGCATGTATATTTCTGTATAGATCGTAATATGTTTGGTAACATGTATATATGTGTATAGAGTAGGTGGTCTATACTATTGAACAACATATATAGTAGAAATACTATTTGAAAACATTTATAGTATCGGTACTCTATGCAACAAAGGTGGACTATACTATATGAAAATGTTTATAGTATAGGTATATTAACATGCCAAAATGGTAAGTATTGTTGGTTGAATATATGTGTATAGAGTAAGAGGCCTATATTATTGGAAAACGTTTATAGTAGAGATAATACTTGCCGTCGATATATTCCATTGGTGGCCTATACTATTGGAAATACCTTATAGTATAGATATATTACCATGACAATATGATGCTAGATAGTAATGGTGTTTACAAGTTTGTCCTCCTGTTACTTGTTTTTGGCTTTTTTTTGTATATTGTACGGTTTATAATGTTATACTTTTTCTTGTAGATTATGGAAGAGTTTGGCTTACCGCAGCGCTTGTTTGAGACGGGGTTCGAACCAACTGGTCGGAAGAGAATAAACAACTACTTCAATTTGAGATGGGTGGAGGTGATAAAAGAGTCTTTGTCTGATGCGTGGCAGGAGAAGATTGCAGAGTCGCAGTTCATGCAAATTATGTTAATGGGGAACCATACGTTTTCAGTCATGTTTTTCCATCAGATATTTTCCCGTCAGCTGGTGACTGAAAAAAAATATGAGCTATGGTGGACGTTTGCTGGAAAGCCCATCCGGTATGCGATAGGAGACTTTTCTTTAGATACAGGCTTTAATTGTGGAACACCTCCAGATAATGCTTTGGGACTTCCTCCCATTGAGAAAGGAAAAAAGAAAGGTAAAGCAAAGGTTAAGCAAGTCAGTGGCAGTGGTGATGTTTGGAAATCACTGTTTTTTTTAAGGAAGTAGCTCTTCATGTACCACAAAATCCTTCGATTCACATGATATTATCTTCAATTTAGTATGCCCTATACTATCCACAATATAGTATAGTACAATCTACATGAAAATCCTTCGGTTCATATGCTATTTTCTTCTTTGAGCCATGATACATACTATTACATGTATAGTAAAGTACAATTTACACCATAACGCATATTGTCGTCGGTTCTTCTTTACTTCTTACATGTCCAAGTTGTTTCCCATTTTGTATTGTCGTTGTGATTTACAGACACTCTCATGCTCATTACACTTACCCACATGCGTCAATAACTTCTTGCGATAATACAAATTGTGTTATTTCATGTACCCTTTAGTCCTGAAGACCTTTTCTCTGATATTTTAATTTGTTTCTTTTTCACTATACTATCCCTCCTATAGTATAGTCCTCTGTTTCTCAGTATGGTGAACACTCAGTTAGGTTAACAGGCTATATTGTCCTTATGATTATGCACTATGTTATTCAACGTCTACTATAATTTACTATAATCAACTTCCTCCGTATTTCATGTCTCCTCTTATCCGAACCTTATTTTCTCAGATATTGTATGTTGGTCATTAATTATTATACTATCCCCCTATATTATAGTCAACTAAGCACTTTCTATATATGCTTCTCAGTGTCATTTACACTTACAAGAACTCTGCTTTCTACATCCCATTTACAATTATACAAACTCTGTTTTTTCCAGATATTATCTTATGTTGGCAAGCATGGTGTAGACTACCCTCAGTAAAAGTATAGTACATTTTGTTACATATCCTCTTCTTTCTCATAACACAGTTGTTATGGTTTTCATGCTTCACTTCACTCCACTCGCCTCATAATCATTCGTACACGAGTGAAATGCTAATATCGTCACGATGCATGTGAAAATGTCAAATCAAAATGCTATGACTATATTTTTAATTAACGATTCCCTTATGAATATTAGGCAAATTGCCCCTATATATTAACCAAAACCCAATCTAAAAAACTTATAAAAAAAGTTCTACAAAATAGCCGAGTAATGACACAATCAGTAGACTAATCCTAACTTTACAAAAAACATCGGTTCAAGCCTTTTCAAGACAAATGTAAAAAAAGAGTTAGCAAAAGAGATAGGTCTCTTTGTGTTTTTTGGTGAAAACAATAAACAAAAACAAAGGATCCTTCTTACAATTTAATTAAAAGAAACTCAACTGTAAAAGATAAGAAGCATTTCTGTTTTGAGAAGAAACTCAAAGATTTGGGTTTTGTAACCAAGCAAAGTGTACAGAGATCATTATTAGAATGCCTAACTCTGTCATACACAAATGTTATACAGATCAACTTATAAGCTCTCACACCAAAACATAGAAAACTCTCTCTTTGCAAATTCTAGGTCTTTACACGAAGCAACATTTCACCAAAAGCAAAATGAAATCAGGAAAAGATTCATTCTATACGCAAGTTCCTAGCAGATTCAGATTCCATGGATCTGTAATCATCTCGAACTCTAATAGCTCTCCAATCAGACTCTTCTTTGGTCTGCCTCAGAGCCATGAAGTGTAGTGCGTCACTTCTAACCTGGTATATGTGGCATGCCCACGGATACGAGTCAGGAGACGACCAAACTTTCTGTTCCTCAAACTCTGTCTGCTCAGCCAGAGACGTCGGCATGCAATAAACTGTGTTGGGCTCTGGCTCCTTGAAACCAGCAACTGCGACACATCCAGGAGATACGAATCCTTCAGGAGCCCGCGGATGCCAGATTGATACAGGACTTACGTAATCATCTAGGCAGTTCCTCCACACCTGAGAAGTGAATAATAACATTATGTATCACTAGGCAAAGACACAAACTCAGGTTTTGATTCGGTTTAGCATTTTTAATGCTCTACACTCGCGACATGTTCACGGGTAAGTGTGTACTTACGAGGTCATAACCCACTGGAAGTGCAAACACTCCCTCGGTGTTATTGTACACAGCAGCAACGTTTGGAGGATGGCTACCAACATGAGCTACATCTCCCACTGAAACAAATCTGGTAATTCAATGACTAAACTGCTTCAGTATCATCATTTGGGAAATAATTAACCAAGTTAAGAAATAATAATAGTTTTTGGAATTTTGATTCTCTTCGGGCTTTACTTACCCCTCTGGACAACTGGGTCTCCAAATAGTGCACACTCCTCCATCTTCAGAAACCTGAAAACAAAAATAAAATAATATAACTGTAAGCATACCACGAAACCGTGACGTTTTGGTTCCTTCTTATTTGAAATCTACTATTGACAAAGGTTTGAGGTCCTATTTTAACTTTAAAGAAATCGAAAGCAATTAAAAGAAAATTACCTGCTTTTTGCACAAAGTACATCGACCTTTGGATTCTCGCTCACTACTCCAGATTTTTGAGAAATTGATACTATGTTTGACAAACTTTCTATTATCTGAGACAGAACTTGAGGAAGAAGAAAGTTCTCTCGATTTTATAATAGCCTTGTTGCTGTACGATTTCGTGTCTCTTCCATCAGCCTCATGCCAAGCAAAATACACATGTCTCTGGCTTGAAGGAACCTGCGACCAGAAGATAGAAAGCCTATTAGGTGCGTTGCATTCGCACAGGCTTCTATACTTGCACATGTTACAGCGAGTAGTAAGCTATGTGGAATATAAACCAATGTATGGTCACATAGGTATTCTTATAAAACAGAAGACCAAAACATTTTGAGTGAGGTCATTTCGAATGAAGATCTTGCTTCATTCAAAATCAATTCAACTGATTCAAATATTAATCTAATACCTATGATGAGATTAGGAATAGCAATAACCTTGAGAACATGATTTTTCATGTTAGACTGATATGCTTTCCACATTTTGCGCACTACGGAACAAATTCGAACAGCCTGGGGTTCCAGTACATCTGATTCTTCTGACACGCTGCACTTTATAACCTGAGCAAAGCTTTCTGACTTCTGAAAAGTCTTCAGATGCAGTATGAGATGCGAGGGCCTTTGGCCACCTGCCTTTGCCAATTCCAACGCCATAAGTTCCTCCCAAGGCACATCCCACATAATCTTGCTGGGTTTCTTATCCATCTTATCCAGATCAGAGCACTAGATGGAAGTATAACAAGTCAGCAAATAAAATAATTTTTAAGACGCAAAATGTGAAAGGGTATGCTAGGGTTTTGACCTGTAATAACACAACTCTCTTGTTGGTCACGATGACAATGCGTTTGTATGGAACAAGGAAATGTTCTTCATAACAGTCAGATAAAGCGAATTTTGAGGGTTCCCTGAATATCTCTGTACAGCCAAAATGTCGACTTGCTTCTGCTAGGTGCAGGAGCATCTGCATAAACAGATAACAAATAAAAATCAGAACCAGCTTCGAAGTTTGAGCAGGAAGGGCAAGCTTGACTAGACGAATGCAAGTTATTAGCTTTGTGGGTAACATTAACAATACAATTTAAACCATATCCTAAGAGACTTAGATCTATAACTCTTATATTGAAATATCGCATGCTAGAATAGCCGACTTGTAGTTAGAAATTTTGGATTTGGTCGTAAGACTAAAACCTTCACAAATTTCTCAGTATGCAGTCTCACTAATAGACAATAAAAACAAAGTGAGGCAGTACCTGGCCTATAGCTTCCTTCTCATCATATTCCCTGAGTATACCATCAGCATGAACTGCACGGGGATTTCTTATTCTCTCCAAAGCGGTCCTATTGCTCAAAACCTCCAAACATCGGGTGCAACTTGCTCCAATTCCATCAACAGTCAATGAGAAAAAATCTAATGCACCACTCATCGGTTGTACGAAAAATCCTAGGAAAGCCCGTCCTACCCCATGGGCAAACCCTAAGATACCATTTTGTCGGGCACTCTCTACAGGCTTCGTAACAACTCCTGATACCCCGAAGGCAACACCTTGTGCTAGGGCTTCTGTTCCTTGAACAAAAGCATCACCTACACCAGTGATCCGCCTCGACCAAACCTGATCCATTTTTTTCAGCCCTCTTTTAGGCAAACTGCCAAAGTGATCAACTTAACTTTGTTGCAAAAAATATGTACCTGTCTTTCCCTTAGTTGCAGGAATTGACCATCAGTTGAAAGTGCCGCAAATCCTCTACTAAGGGAAGCCAATGTTGAGCTAGTCATACCCAAGACATCTACGGAGAAAATCAAATGTAAGGGATTGTGGATCAGATCTCTCCATATGCGATTCCCAATGGCTGGAAGTATCGAACTTTTCCGTATGAACCGATCTCTGTGCATTACTCTCCTTAGATGGACCTAAACGTAGATATTTTTTTGAAACATTAGCAACATTCTCGCGCTCTTTATCCAGCAGTAAAAATTCCGAGTATAGCAAAATGATGAATTTGCTTGTGGTGCCAAGCAGTAGAAAAGCTTTCTAGCCACAAGTGGTTCCGTGACAATCCAGTAAAAAGACTCTTTAAGATGTCGTAAAATCTTCTGAGCTACTTATCCCATGCTGGGAATCAAAAAGAATATGGCTGAAAACAGTACTTAATTTACAACCAGTTTTCAGTTCGCACAATACATAGCCAGAGAATCTCCCATGAAATGGAACCAAGTATCCCAATAGTTAGCTCTAGTACTAGACTGTGCAGGATACAACGCCAATCACTTTTCCATTTCATATATGGTAGTAACTTCAAAGAAAATTAATTACCTGAATCTTGAATGCATTTCCAACAGCAGACAAAATCGGACTCCAAACACCAAGAATTCCATGAGGCCTCTGAGCTGGCGCTGTTTCCAAGGAGACCTTTAGTCTTACTTCTGAAACATCTATGAGGCTGAAAATCAAAAACAAAGTTAAGTTTGACATTTGCTCGATTTGCATGCCAAAATGGATAACTACTATGAACTTCATCCCCGAAATGGTAAAATTCTATAGAAGGCAAGAATACTTTATATGTATCTCAGGATCAACTTGCGCGACACTAGAACTTTTCGGGAGACGATCCATCTGGAGCTTATTGCAGAAGTCAGCCGAAGCCCAAATGATAGGCTCGTGAATGTTTACTCGCCACGTATTATCCGTCACCTGTCAATCAAATAGCAAATCCATCATGAGCTTCAAGTAGTATCTCATATGTTTGGAGTACCATGAACATAAACCTGACTAGAATACATACCCGTACATATACATATGGATACACTTGAATGCCATCAGTTTCTTCATTACACATTGTAATTGTCATCTTAAGCACTGGTTGATGACTATCTCCAGTGTTATCTGGTGCCAATAGTACTGGCATTAGAGTTAGAGGTAGCTGGTTATCAATCTGTAAATGGCCCAGAATGACTTTGAACCTGTAAACCATAGAAAAGAATTGCATGTTCAGCTTTCCGAAGGTACTTCATGTGGTTGCCTCAGCTCCTAATACGAGCACAAATGACACAAAAATTTACAGGAATGTGACAACCTAAAGACTTTTTGCCTAAAATTAGTACATTTTGATTCGGACTAACAAGTGTTGCTAATAAATCAAACTATCCCATGTTCTTAAATTTCCAAGCATAGGCAAGCACATGAAGTATCTTCATATTCTGGTTACATACGTGAAAGCAGACATAAAAAGACAACAATACGGCAATATTTGACTTTACCTGCTAGTTCTTCCCTCATCATACCCAGTCGAGTAAGATACGAAAACTTTTTCAAGGTAAAAATATGACAACTCTTTTGGCACGTGATCTACAAGAGAGATCCCCACTACTCCCATTTCAATTATGAACTCCAGAGTGGTGGTCTTTTGTTCTGAAGGTGTCTGAGGAGTAGAATATCTATTATTTCCAACCGATGACACAGATATGATTTCATGAGGACTCTGTGAAGTACTGTCATCATCAGTGAATCTAGCAATCTTGATGTCACCAATTTCTTTAACATGAAAGTTCACCCCTAAGTCCCTACACAATTCAGAATCCACAACACCCTTTTCCATGTCGAGTCTGAAAACCCCAGAACGGTGATCGCTTTCAACCTTAGCATCCAAGAATTTCTGACCGTAAGGATCTTCCCAAGCAAAATTTACTGTTGTAAGTGGTTCCAACAAAACCCACGAATCTTCACCAAAACCAGATTGGCGGACACTAATTCTTTTGACAGTTGTTCTATTCTCAACCCTGGATTGAAAAGTTAAACACACACAAGAGATAGGAAATTAATGATGGTTTCACAAATATGTACGTCTGTCAATTGTAGAGAAGATACCTCATAGGACCATTGCTTGGGCCAAGTCGAAATACAACTATAAAACGTGACCCTTCTTCAAATCCCCTTATTTCTGCTTTCAAAAATTTACGAGCACCATCTTGACTCCTTAATACAAGAACGATTGTGTCTTCTCGAGCAACTTGAACAGGAAATGACCACCCTGTTTCTCTTAACCGAACCTGAAATCAGGTACATCATTAGATAAAAAGAGAGATTCTCTTACATCCCAAATGAAAACATATGTGGTAGCCAGGGGAAGCATCTCCATGCCAGACAATTAAACAATATAGCACATAATGACTTGCATTCAAACTGAATTTCCAGCTCCACTTGAAGAAGTCACACCGGTTAGACTGCGCAAATATCATACTACATACTTCCGGTGGACACCCTATACAAAAGCCTTATCCATTTTTTTTCTCTCGCAATTTTGCAACTCATTGACTAAAGCAAAGATATGAGAAATAACTAACGGTGAAGATTCTGCAACATTAACAGCTCACCTGGAGTTCATCTCTCCCACTTGGTTGGAAAACAAATGAGACCCTCGAATCATATGCATTGAGTACTTTTGGTTCATCATCACTGTTCAGTTTAATAAATATGTCTTCACCGATCCTGTTGGTGAAAGTCATGAATGGTCGAACAGATATGATCTGAGAAGTAAAAACGAGTCAGTAAGTAATAAGAGAGAAGGTGTACACGATAAACTGTTTATTACCTTTGTAGGAACTGACTGATAACCGCAAGGTTTTGTAGATAAAAATAGTCGCATGCATTTTCCATCGGGATCATACGCATCCACATCCAAAGATCCATCCTATTGAAATAAGTACCAATCATAAAAATGTTAGGGTCAGCACAGCTCAAATTTAGAGAAAAATAGTCTATCAAACAAATAAAATAACATACAACTGACCATGTCACCAAGGGCAGAAAGATCCTTTGCAGGACCATATTGCTGACTGCCACGTTGAGATATCGACACTGAAAGACTCAGAAGTTTGAAATTCAAAGTAGAAGCGATTGTATGACCTTCATATATGTCTTCTTCAGTTATCTCCTCCGGGACTACATCATCATTTTTCTTATTTCGAAATGAAAGACCAAATTTTTTTGTTTTCTTATTCCCTGGCAGATCTAGAAGTCTAAGTGTAAGCGAAGGACACCTCGCAATCGAAAACCAGAACGGAGCGTATATTTTGATCATCTTCGTCAAAACTTTCTGCTGGTCATCATAATTTTGCTCCAGTATTATTTGAGCAACCCTGTTCGCATATATTCAACAGTATGAGACCAAATAAACCAGTACAACTATACAATTGAAAAACTTCGGCAGAAAGACGAAGACCTTCCAGTGGCGGAACTTCTTAGGTTTATTGTCTTCGCAGGGACAGCATTTGGGTGAGATACAAGGACAGCTTCCTGCCAAATTCAATAAACCAAATAAATAGATAAGGGAGAATAAAGGAAACGGAACAAAAATTATGTGAATCTAGGTTCCATTTCCAAACTTACAGGCATTGGTAGCCATAATCCTTGTGGCAGTAAAATTAAGTATAAAGGCTTCCCTAAATCGACAGTATGCACTTTCACAGTTTCCCCAGAACGAAAGACATTTCTGCATCGACGAATAAAATGACCATCGGCTTGCTCCTCTAGCACTGAGTATTCAGCTTCAAATGGAAGACAATTTGCTATAGAAACCGGTGATTTGACCACAAGAGTCCAATCTTGAATGGGATCGGAACGTATATCCTTTGCAATTTCGGTTGCTTGAGTTTTCAAACAGAACCAGTAAGTTTTATTATCTCCGGGAGTACTGCTTATCTGGGTACAGCATAGCAAGTGCTCAGCTTCAGTAAGGGCTGATATACATATTCCAGACTCTGATTCACTAGCAACCTCTGGTTCCCCAGACCTTGAAACCACAGAACTCCAAGAATATTCATCAGAACCATCAGGCATTACACACTTCAGCTTCAGAAGATACGAAGCAGACTGCGTCAATCCTGATAAGGGTACCGGCAATGTATCACCAGGTTTCAGCAACCCAATTGATATATTTGGAAATGAACGGACTTTGGCCTCCAGGCAGAGGTCAAGAAGGTACTCAGTATTGTTTTCCACTGAAACGAGAGACCTGACATTTACGTATCTGTTTCCATCCTCCATACTAACTTCACTTGCAACAACATCATTTCCCAACCGCCAGCAAGCAGCAGGCGAAGCGTAATTCAGCCTCACTGTCGTCCAAGGACCCTCAATGCTAGGACTTACTTGAATAAATCCAGATTTTTTTTCACTTGAGAATTTGCTTTGGTCCAAGATTTTCGATTTAGCTGGTAACATTACAGCGCATCTTATTTTTCCGCACTTCTTTCTTTGATCCCCTTGGTCTATGTTCTACAGAAACAAGGAAAAAGGTAATTCATTACCAATATAAGAAAAATATTGCAATTCACAATCTTTGAAACCAAAAGGCCAAGACATTTTTTACATGCATGTATTTAGTATCATATTCTAGACGCGAAAGGCAGGCCAAGTTAAGAATTTTTACCATGGTTTCAGTTGTGGACAAGTCTAACCAGACAAGATCATTGGCATAATTATGCTGGTATAGGTTGTCCTTCATATATCGTGCTATCTGCTTCAACGGAGCTGAAAAAGTGCCAACAGGTGCACCTGTAAATCGTGAAAACAACACTACTTTATATACCAAAAAGGAAAGTAACAAGTGCGAGAGATATACGCCACACGAACTACGGAGACAAACCATTTCCGATGTCTGTCACAATTAATTCCAAGTTATAGTCATCCTGGAAAAACAAAAGAACACAATATCAAAGCCGCGGCAACCTTGATAGACCAAAAATGATAACCAGAAAGAAAAACTTAAAATACAATTCATTCTCAAGTTCCTGTACAAGAGAGGTACATGCACGAAGATTAGCAACTAAGATTTGCCAAGCTATAGTATTGCATAAACAGTTTCTGCTTTCTTTAATTTTTAAATACGTATTGAATCTAATCTGGAGAGCAGAAGTAGTAGAAACACAAAGAGAAAACAAAAGAATGTTACAAATTAACTTTAGGACGACAAATAAGAATCCACGGAGAAGAGGAACAAACCCAATTGAAAAGAAAAAAAATCCACCAGTTTTCAGGGGCTGCAAATTAACTTTAGGACAACAAAAAAAATGTTAGCTGTAGTGAAGAAGAGAGAATACCAGGGAGTCAATTTTGAAGAAAAATATTTCACTCCAGTCAACGACTTCCAGCTCAGACGAAAACATATTCGAAACACTTCCACAGGTACGTGCACATTGCTGGCGAAGCACTGACTCCGCTGGGGAGGCCTGATTTGGAGACAGACGTACAACTCCGGTGTACTGATGAGAAGACAATCCAGACGTTCTTGGAAGCTACAAAAATAGACTAATGTGAGAATACAAGACTACTCCAAATATCAACCTTCTCCAAATCTTTTATATAAATCAAATATCATAACTCAGTTGAAAAAGTCACATAGCATCAAACGAAATCACTTCCTTTCTGTAACACCAAAGAAAAGTAGAAGAAGAGGAAATAAAAGGAGATGCATGACAGCCTGAGCGGTAGAAATATATAAAAGAAAAGACATCACGACAAATGTGGTTTTGTTTTAGTTAGAGAGGTACCTGTGCATCCATCACAATAACTGTAACCATTATTCTAGGATTACTGCATAGTTCTCCTCTGAGGTGCGAATCCAGCATATTGGTCAAGACGGGAACTTTTACAGGTCTCATGTCCCCCGATGGCATCTTTACAATATCCTTAAATCCTTTGATTTCAGTGGCTCTAATATATATATCCTGCCCAAGCTTGTTTTGTGGAATTATGAAATACGTTTTCTTCTGATGCACCTCAATGACGGATTTTCCATTGTCAGCTAGAGGAAATGCTCCCTGTAAGACGTAGCAAACATAAATCAAGGATAAAGAATATGTAACTCCTTGAACAGACAAGGTAAAGGGAATTAAAGCCTCTGCTTCACCATGTGGCACAGAGGGACCAAAGAGGAAATTCTCACTCTCTCTTTATGGTATTCATGGACGTTGCTAAGGCTGTTCCAACTAGAGTACGCCTGAATAATTGTATTAGCATTTGAAACTGAGAAATTCACATTCAAGTCCTTTGTAGATGTCAGACGTAACTCAGAAACCGCACCAAAGGATCTAGGGTTGAACTGGTACCTGCAACCCAATGGATCATTGCCATAATATAGAGTATAAAACAAACAAAAATAAAAAGAGCAAATCACCCGCACTAGCATTCCTGCACTAAAGAGCTTTAAATTAACACAAAATTAGCAGAAAAAAACCTTAAGAATCCATCTGCAGGCTCGATGAGAGGTTCCCACGCTTCATACTTATCATTATATGACCTGGCCGCTAAGGAGAAGTTGATAGTTGACTTTGTGAAGTTGGTTTTGCCAAGTAATCCGAAACTTATATCACTCAAAGATACGTTAACCAATGGAACCATCTGCAAAGTACATAGATACGCCATTATTTTCACGCAGATAAATACGCCACATAGTTTATTTGGTTTTTCATACCAGTCCGCCGTAGTCGTCAAAAAGCGCAGCAGAAAAAGTCCCAATTTCTGCATGAATGACCATGTTATCAATTCCCCCAGGCAAATCTTGGTCTGCAAGCTTTAAAGCAAATCTCCTTGGTGGTTTTTTCAAACCAGTACGGACAATAAAGGTCTTCAACTCATTGCCTATGCCCCATATACTAAACGGTTCTACCCTCTGCCACACATCAGAGGTATCCCATAAACTATCTTCAGCAAAACGATCACCAGCTACCATATCACTACGAACACATTTTAATTTGGTTAAATCGTATGGTTTCGCTGAGCCTTTATATGCAACACAACCCAAAGAAACAAAACCCGGTGGGGCTTGAGGCATCCAGAAAGATATACTTTCTACTCCCCTGTGTTTCTTGACACGTCCAACAAGTTGGAAATCAACAGCGGCTTTAAGGATATCTTGCTCGCCATTATCACGAAGAACCACACAAGAGTTTGGAGGTTCATATCTACAAATTTATCCCCAAAAGTAATTAGCATACACCTTACAAACAGAAGAGACTGCACTCAAATGATATAGTACATCATTACTTACCCACTAACAGCAATGTCCCCAAAATAAGCCATCCCTTCAGTAATAATTGGTCTCCATATTGAAAGTTTCTTCTGCGAGCCAGAGCCCCTATTCCACCATATTAACTGAAAGGAAGCAACAGCTTCGAATCGCTGACCAGATCTGACAGAATTCAGTGGCTGTACAGCCTGAACATTATCAGTTGTACGAACATCCACGTAGTTGGATTCTTTTGGCAAAACTCCAGTGGATCCAAATAATATATGACGTAGCTCGTATGGTCTTCCTGATAAGTTGAGAGTAGACGGATCCGCAGGTAAAAAACTTCCAACAGAATTATTCACTCGCCAAAAAGCTAAACTTGACGCAGAACTGCATCGAATACAAATGCAAACATAGAAATGTCAATCACCAATGGAAGAAGATAAACAACACCGAGGTGACCAGCACAGACCTACATGAAGTACTATAATAAACAATTTATGAATATTAACCAGAATCTGGAAACAAAAAAGCGAACAAATAAATTCTGCATGTGCAAAAACGAATACCACCAACTGAGTTCCAGTTCGTTTGAAACAACAGCACGTAACCATTATAGATCACACAGATAAAAGGACACTTATGAGAAATGTCAGAAACACACAGACAGTAAGCATGCTGGCACATCTCTACATAAGGGAATATGCATTCTATCCATGTATATAGAAAGTGAGTAACTCCTAAAAGTGAGAGGTTCGACGCAGCATACATATCTGTGGAGCTGATTGCTATACAATCTCTGAGAGAACAAGGGGAGACGGAAGAAGCTAGGATGCAGAAGACAGAGGCCAGTGGAGGCGGTGTACTTCCACTTGATACCACACAGCTTAACGCCACATAACCTTTTGGTGCTTCAGGGAACCAAATGGAACATATATTATCTCTTTCATCTCTGTCATCCGTTGAAGGATCACCTAATCCCCCGGAAGCTAAAGGTGACCAAATCAATCTGAACGATAAAGGCCTCTTCACTCTCATCAAATTGGTGTTGACAACAAGAACCCCTTTAGTAGGTGGCTTGTCCCTGCCATATAAAAGAAATTAGTTAAGTTGCAAAGGCTCTTGCGCAACCTATGAAAGAGTATAGTTAAGGATGGATGACTAACAATGGTGTCAAATAGTCGCCAAGACTTGCGAAACCAGGAGGCGGATGGGGTCTCCAGAATGCATACTTTTGATCTGTACAGGGATCTGCATGAGATGTAAGTATTAAGTACCAGGTAACAAAGATTAAATGAACTGATAATTTTAGTGATTACTGGACATACTTCTGATTATCCCAATTTTATCAAACTCTGTGCAGACGACAGTCATTTTTCTGGATGTCATCCTTAGAAATGATAAAATGTCTTCTTCGACAGCTATAAACAATCTCAAGATGCTGAACGAAAAGTTCATAAATATGTTTGAAACTGAAAGTTGTATGTTAGTCTTCCCAGAAACACTTGAATACTTTACAGAGGTGTCAAACGGTTCCAGAATTTTCACTCCATTACTCTCCATGGTCAGACCCAAAGTATGAGCATTCATTTCAATTTCATCATTCTTTATGCTTACCCTGTCCCAGAAAAAAATAAGAGAAGGAAAGACTAAAATTGTGAACAACAGATGTGCAAAACTTCATTAAGGTTTAAGCAATGAATCATTTAAAATTTAGCTCTAACAATATTGACCTGCCATAAGCATCCAGTTGAGCATGCAAAAGTTTGTTGGAGAGTACTGGCGTTTTAACAACGTCTTTTGATGTGTTGTAGAAAGTAAGTTCTGGGCCGATAGCCTGCAGCATCGGAAACATTAAATGGAACTTTTCTTCACGCCCATACCAAAGAAAAAGTTAGCAACTATAAGAACCTGGAACTCAATGATCAATTCCGTTGACTTCTCGGTTGTGATGCTAGGAGATTGAGACACCGGATCCTCCTTCCTCTCGGAGTCTTGATGTGGGGATTTATGATATACTTCCAACTCAACCCCTTCCTCTCTTGAAACAGAATAGCTGCTGTAGGCTCCCAAAGAGATGCATGAATCTAGAACTTGGCCATTCTTAATCAGAATGGAAAAAAGTGAGAAACTAAAAGGACGCCAGAAATAAATTCAGATTTAACAAAAACAATGCAAGAACTTCTATACCTTGAAGACTACATTTCTGAAATGCAACTTTTTTCCACTTCCCACATAAATAATAGGCTCTGTACTGGGAGAAGAAAGGACGCATCCATGTCTATCTTTCAGGTATAACGTTCCACCATTACCATCATAAACAAAATCATCAAATTTCTCATCTTCCACAATTAAAGGACCCAGAGGAGAAAGAAACGCTTCAGCAGTCTGTTGCTTGTAGATAGATTGATCCATGATGATTGCGTCGACCATATTAAGGTTTTTATCCTCTTCGCTTGATAGCACACTGCCAATAGTAGGAACAAAGAACTCTACTACGGCCAGTAGAAAATCCAAAGCTACAAGCAGCTGTGGCCTTTGGATACAAAGGGAAACAAAAGTTGACAACTGACCGAACTGCGCATCAAGAGTGAGCATCGAAGGAAGCGGCCTAATATCACTCCCGTTGGTTACATGGGAGTGAGTTAATCCCTGATCTCCATCAGTATAAGAATGTGAGTCACCAAAATCTAAATCTGCAGGTCTTCCTACAGCAAGTCTAAACTCTTTTTCAGTCCCTTCGCGGTTGTCATTAACACTGAAGCCCTTCAACGTTGCAGTGAGGAAACCCTCATCGCGTGTATTGGATTTGTAAAGAAGCCAGCCGCCAGAGATCTGTAAACCAAACACGAAATTCTTAGGAGTTAATTCACTGCGCAATGATGCTGTTACTGCTGTGAACTCCCTTTGAGATTGTCATCGTAAATCTCAAGGAAAAAACAAGGAACCAAAGAGATATGGAAGATGTAGAGTCCTACGAGAACAATCAATTGCTGATCCCCGGAACAGGAAAGGAATTTACACAGAAGCCTCTGACATTGTCATGTCTACTAAGAAAAAACACACTAAAGCAGAAATTTTCATAAACCATAAATCAATTTCTGAAGTCTTTCTGGGGAACCAAATCCGGACTGAATCAAGTTCTCCTCAAGATTGAGCTTAACAAATGCATATGCCTAAACTCTCGGTCAGGAGTTCGACATCAAACAATATTTTGGGCAATTACTTCTAGATGGCATTTCCAAAGGACATAACAATACTGAGTACTCCTAAGTAAATATGCAATTGAAATTAATGGTGCAAGGGAGCGGACCTGTACAGCAGCCAAAGGCGCATCTCTTGCTGTCCCAGCATACAAACACAACTCCACCAGATTGATGACAACAGAAACCTTCATTGAAATCCAAGCATCACTTGTTTCAGTTTGAGCAGCATTAGGATCCTCAGAAGTAAGAGTTTCATTTAAGTTTCTTGAAGATGTCACAATATCACCAATCAATGGTGGCACAGTATGTGGAATCTCAGAAATATTAGACTGTGCACACTCTGTCAAGATCTGGTATTCCCTATTCGAGAGGGCTGCTCTTAGTTCGTCTATCTGATAAAGCAGAAGTTAAAGAACGCATGATTAAGAAGTATTATGCTACAACACAGGATATAGAACATCATCCCTTACCATGATAGACACTTCAATGCTCGGTATCTGATGCAACAAGTCTCGCAGAGACCTGTTAATAGTTACAGAAACCCCATTCACATCCTGAATTATGCTTTCACCTATTTCAGCTCCAGAACCAACATTAAGGTTGATATCCATGACCTAAGTTAAGGTTGTTTTGGTCAAAAGGTCGTAGGAAAAAACTAATTGCACAAAAAGGTTGTATATATTAGAAGTGATATCGATGACAAAAAAACGGAGAAATATTTGAAGTGATATCAACCAGAATGAACCATGCTCATCCCAACAAACATCGACAGTTCTCACCATCACTTTCATAGTTTCCATGTGAACGGCATTCAGCTCGTTTTTATCTCCAGCAAACCACTGAAAGGTATTGGTAACAGTTATATGCACAACATCAAGCTTCAGGTAACTGCAAAGAAAAATAATCCGAAAAGTTGAGAATGTAAATCAACTACTCTGACAAGTCTAGAGAATTAGTGTGCCAGGTAATTATTATAACAAAATTGTGAGAAACTAATGGGTGGGGAGGGTGAAATGAAAATCCAAGCATGAACTTACTCAGGGCTCTCAGTATGTCGAGGCATAAGAATTATAGGCTTTTTAAGAGATAGATCCAACTTAAGAGCAGGAGATCCATCAATTTCGCTAGTCGTAAACCATTTCTCTGAGTCCGTAATTTGATCCTTCATCTTGACAACCCCTTTCGAATCGCTTGGCACAAGCCCCATAAAGTATTCAGCAACCTACATTGCAAAGACTGATTTGTAGGAAGCAAACAAAAAGTTAAATCGCATCTATGCAGAGAGAATGAACTACCTCTTGAATAAAGCGATTCAGATAAACAATGCGCACTTCAGAAAGCTGTCCAGAGAGGGAGTAGTCAAAACCTTCATGATCTTCATCAATGACACTGAATGATGTGAATGCCAACTAGTAACAAGAATCAAAGAAAGTAAATTAACATGGAGAAAAATCGTGCATCTCATCTACACATCAATTCATAATCAACGAATTGAAAAGTGAAAAGTGAAAAGAAACAAACAATGAATACCTCAACAAAAGAAGTTCCTCCAGGGTCTCGCATATCACAAATCCAAAAGTACATATGGTTGTCTGGGAGGCTGTCATCACTGATTCGTAAATTTCCAAGACTTGCTGTAATACTGAACGAGTTCGGGAAGACCTTCAAGCAAATGGGAATCAGTACAGAAAATGACCATTTACCTTGGATATTCATAGTTCCGAAGAAAAGAGTCAAAAGAATGTAATTCAAAGAGCATAATCAAACCTTAATATCTGTTAGCAAATTGTCTTGTGACAATGTCGCAAACTTAGTTCCGTTCTCATTCATCAGGAATATCTGAGCCCGAGCCATGTTCAATGCCAAGTTGAAAATGATTCTAGATTTCCCCTTCCCTAACAAACCCTTGACAGCTGCATCCCTAGAATCTTCAAATCCATTTCTTTTCGGTGAACTTTGCTCTCCAGCGACAGGAGAGCTGTCCTCAAAAGATTCACAGCTTGGATCTTCAACATTGATAGCATTTACAAACTCCAAAATAGCAAGAATTGTCGGCCTCCGGCAGTAAAATGATAATGTCGCTAGGCTTACGGTCACCTACAATGTGTGAGACGCCAGTCACAAAAGATAGAGTGATTTAGTAAGGCCGGACTTTAAAACAACGAAAAACTAACATCTCCGGACTGAAAGATGTAAAAACAGAAATCTCTTGACCTGATTATCAATGTTATTATATTGAGGTGACGTCTGATGGTATATGACTATTTGCGCCTTGACAAAACTATCCAGAGACTCAATTCCCTCACTGCTTGGCATAGTGATATTCCTGTTGTCGACAGGGAGCAATCCATCCATTCGACGAAAACTGGGGGTCCTGAGAGATGTATAGTCAACGGAGTCAACCAAGATCTCTGGTGCTTCATAAAATTTTTCCTCCCCTTCACTAGAAGAAAGATCATTTCCTTCAGGGTTCTTAATCTCAGCATCTTTAAAGGATGGAAGCACCACTGCAGACTGAATAAAAGATCTTGCTAAATAACAAGACTCATTTGAACCAGAACGGCTAACCAAATCTTCTATTTCCAAAGATTTTAGAACAGTCCCAATAAACATATCACTCCCTCTCAGCGAGACTTCAACCTGGTTCAACAAAACAGATATTCAGAAAAAGGAACAAGAAATGACAAATATAATTAAGAAGCAGATCATTTACCTTTCCACCTATGGCCCTAAACTCAAACAGTTTACTCTCTCTTGCAAGAAGCACCGCCATGAAAGAAGCATCTTCCTATATTAGAATATACTCAGTCAAAGCAAGTCCCAAAATAACAAGCAGCAATGGAATTTCACACGCAGAAATAATTTATATTACCTGATGACCGTAACTGAAACATATTTTGAGTTCATCAAGCACACCAGTTACATATACACTCTCCAACTTAGACAAATCCCAAATATCTTCTTTATGTTCTGTTTCTGATTCCTCACTGTCAGACGACGTATCAGAAAGACCGGCTATGGGGGCAGAACCCTGTAACATTAAAGTGAGAGATAAACTTAAATCATCTAAATAAACAGGCAGATCATCAATGGAACTGTCTCACGGTAAGACGCCCTATTAATAACCGGAAGTAAAGTTCAAAATTAAATTTACCGAGGCCCGGTAGACAGCGCCCTGCAAACGGCTGTGCCAAGTTTTTCTAGACTCTTCAGAATCAAACATTAATATGAGTGCATTCACATCCTCCATAACCTAGAGACCGTACAATTAAATATTCAGCGCCAAAATTCATTGAAATTTACAATCAAGATCCTCGAACCCTCATTGATGAGCATACAATCAAAACATAAAAATCACGACCAAACTCCGCCTGCATTTATTAATTCAGCTAAATGAGATCTAAACCTTCTCATTGATTCGAGAAGCATTGCGAATGGACAAGACGTGCTCTACTCCTCCAGCGAGTTCTACAGGGACTTTGTATATATGCTTCCCACGTAAGCTACAAAAGATACAAAACCGTTAGACGGGAAGAAGTATGAGAAAGACCAACTAGAACGATCAGACAGAGTTAGGAAAATATCAAAGCAAATAGTAATTTAACTGCTTGGTGAAACAGCATATTAGGTAATAAATTCTTGCACTAGATTTGTGAACCTAATAAGTGGACTTTTAGTGGGTCTTTAGTTAGACAAGGAAAGTTAATAAGCCGCTTAGATAACACAACCGAGAGAAATTCATTTCTTCCGTGTCTTTTTTCACCTTGACTTTACTAGTTTATATAATACAATGAACATTATTGGTTTAATTTAAAAATGCTCCGATAAAACAAAATAAGGCAGTCTTGCCACAGTCATTTCACATGTAGATATCTATATTCATTGTGAACACACGCAAACATTAGATATAAGAGTGCTGGTCTACATCGAGTTTGTAAAGGCCATCCATTTTATCTAAAGTGTATTCTATAAAGCCTATCACTGTAACGAAATAGCAAGAGTTCGAATCATACCTGGTATACTGCTTATAAGATTTTGAGTTAGGACTTTCTAGCACGTATATAAAAGGACCAACTAAACATAAGTACCGCCGCTGCCACGTAGCTTCTCTGCCCTATTCATGGATTTGATAATCGAATAAATAACTAGTGTCCAAGAAGAAAGAGAGCTTGCAACCATAAAACTGACACGTAGAACGGTACTGACCTTCCAGCTAAGTAAAGACAACCAACCCTCAAAATCAGCTTCTTCCCATGGACGAATAATGTGAGAGCCCTCATCATCCTTAGTTTGAAAGATCTGTGCAACTTGCATCAACCTATGGTATCGAGCCGGTGAGAAGTGAAAACCTAGTGACGGTAGCCGCACGGCAAGTCTGGTTGATGGGTACGATGGGTTTGGCCGACGAATCTACAAACCAAAACAGGAAACAATAGTGCTAAATATCTACAGTTTAAAGCATAACTCTTTTACCAAAATGTAAATGCCAGATGTCCAGAATTTCACCTGTTGAAGTTTTAAGAGTACCCCACACTTGTCAATAACTGGCAAGAAAGTAACAGTGCTTTCCTTACCAGAAGATCTTTTCGAGGATAACTGTTTCCAGGAGTAGTCACCATCAACAAGTAATGCGGACACATCACTCAAAACTAAATCAAACTGTAGATACATATCCATTTCCTCTGACAGTTCACGCTTATAGTCGTCCTGCAAAATTTGCATGCATAGACATTGGAGAATGTGCATTTAGAAAATTCTAATTATATTGTTAAAAGAGTTGACAGCTGACACTTTTCTATTTACCTGGGAACGGATGACCAGGTTACCTAAGTCCAGAAGAAGCTTAGTAGAACGATGGTTATCAGGACGAAATTCGGTTGGAATTGTGATTTTGGGTGCTGCAATATCTAAGTCGAGCAGAAACCTGGTAGTTTTGTAAAACGTCATCTACTAAAACAAGCATGGGCATAAATTTGACAACGAGCTCATGAGAGTACGAACAGACCTTGCATGATCTTTCAATGCTCTAGTCATTCCTTGTTGAGCAGTGCGTCTAACTTCATCAATAGTTGACTGAAACGGTAAGCAAGCGAATTATAAGGATTAAAGTGGTTCGCTACGGGTAGTTGAATATAAGTAAGGATCAGAAATCTAATTCGAACAGTTTCTTAATAAACTGCAAGGATCAAGCTCTACAAATTGGAAAGTTCCAACAGAAATATTGACAACAAACAGTAACTGCTTACTTACTAGATCCCATATTACCATTCCTTAGATATACAGTTAATAATGAGATTACCATAACCAGGCTATATAAACTCAATATGCACTCATTTTGTCAACTTTTCACACCATAGCACATATTAGACACACCTGTACAGCAGCTGCAGTCTCTAAAGCTATTGTTTGGCTCACAGCAGTACTGCTTTCGAAGAAGTTGACAATTCCATCAATAGAGTCCTTCAGATACTGCAGGCAGCACCGCAATAAGCCACATAATTTTTAAAAATAACTGCTTAAACAAAATTCCTTAGAGAGAGGGCACACACAGTCATATAACACGGAGAAGCTTTTGCAACAAGACTCCAGTCAACTTTAGCATCAAAAGGCTTATAACAGAAGGAAGCAAGTACAGAGTGAGAGGCAGGGGCACTCTGCAGGAGAAGAGACAATTTTAAGAGATTTTAAGACACAACTGACAATGTTTTGTAGCAAAAAAAAAAAAAAAAAAAAATCCACCAACAAACCTCAGCAAGTAGACCACTTGGCGATGACAAGCGATATCTCCCCAATTTAATGTCGGCAATCTTTGTCTCGGGGAAAAGCTTAATGGAGCAATTAAGATCTTCACATGATAACTCAGCAAGGCATTCCTTCTCCCCATCATAAAGTTTTGAAGCATTACGCCTCATATGTACCTCCAAGAATGTATGGAGAGCATCAGGTTTTGCATTGTTTGTAATTGATTGCTCCTGACCTTCTTTGTACCCTATGACTTTATTTAACCGTTCCCAATCTTCATCAGTGAATTGAACAGATTCTCCTTCACCTTCAGACACTTGACTCTTCCTGGAGGCATACATACAAAATACTTTAGACGATAATTTGGGAGGATTTCAAAATTCGGAAGCAACCAGGGGAGCATTCACCCTCCAAACGGCCACCATGAACTTTTAGGCTGTTGCGCCTTCGAGTAATTATCTGCTTGCACCGATCTCTCAACAAACTTGTGCGCCAACATCCTTTATAAGAAAATCAAGGAGAATATTCATAATTAGAAATGGTTTGTAGATTACCCTTATTGTCCACATCTCTACTCATGTTTTGACAAATGAAAATAAAACAGAGAAGCATCATAGATACAAATAAAGAATTAGTCCTAATGAAAATTTATAGAACTACACAACACCAAACCTTTGAGAAAGCTAATTGATCAGCTCGAAAGCAACTAAACAAAAATATATTACCTCCATTGCAAAATGACTTCGGTATCAAGTTCCCGATCAAGGGCGTTGATTTCTTTATCATCATCAACAACTGTCCTACTGAAATCCAATTTCAGCAACGAAGCATAATGCGTGATGTATCTCTTGCGTAGACTAGTGTACTTTAAAACGTTCTCCCATGACATTCTCCCGCTGTCATAAATGTAACAATCTCAGAAAATGTAAACAGAACCTGAAGTAAGGACCGCAAAGAAAAGGTTTCCACAACGAATGCAAATTACATAGAAATCAGGCAGTAGTAAAAAAAAAGAATGAAAACTTATATTTCGATACCTTGCTATCTTAATTTGTTCGGAAACAACTCTGAAAGCATAATTCCACCAAGATTTTGGGTCACTTTTTACTGAAACAGATGGACGGTAATGTGCATATTTCAAACGCTGATTAAACGCAGCAAAATTATCAGCAAGTTTCATGACATCCCTGTATCCTCCCTGAGTAACAAAAAAAAACACACAATCAAGACCACCGGGACATCCACATTTAAATTAAAAAAAAAAAAAAAAGAGAGTATGAGCCTCAAATTTTTGCTTAACCTTCGATAAACAAAGTGTTACATCGTCTAAGTTAACATATGCCTTCTGCACAGGTTGAACAGTATTGGAAGATCCATTTGCTTGAGACTTAATGTACTTAGCATTCCCTGAGACAGGTTGTAGAATATAAAAATGCTTTCTCTCCAGGCCTTCAGCTGGCTTACCATCCTTGGTGCCAAATCTAAAAATCTAGAAATTTGCACTGAAAGATTAAAAATCTAGAAATTTGCACTGAAAGATTAGATTTATACGATATGAGACAAATTATGTTCCACTATATACATGACTTTGCTAGTCAATACCTGATCCCACTCAACAGGAAGTAAATCCTCCCATGGTTTGTCAATATGCCACGGAGACATGTCAGAATCAAGATATAATGCAAGCCGATCAAGTTCAACAGACTGCAAAAATAAAAAACGAAGCAAAGGCAAACATAAATGTAAAGTATCGACCGTTTTCTTTCTTGGCATTGGTGTTCCTTTCAAAATGCAATTAATCGATATATTAATTCCACACGAGGAAATGCTCTATATCACTAATCCTTCAGGAGAGCACCCTAAGTCAATCTTCGTTGGGTGCTTCTTACTATACCCACATAAACCTAACATATTGAACTAAATTACAGAAAGAAACAATCTAGATACTTACAAAAAGAAATCAAAATTGGAGAATATCTTAACACAAACCATTCCAAAAGTTACAGAAGTAAAAGATGGAGGGACATGATCTTAAATCAATGTTTTCCATAAGATCAGAAAAGCTTGTGCCAGCCAGATACTCTATACCTTTTGGATGGAAGCCAAAGTTCCGCCAGTAATAAAAGTCTCCTTTCCATTCTCATCAACTGTTACGGCTAAGAGTTTTTCTAGTGTAACACCAGCTGAGAATGGGTGGCCGGGATTGCTGCACTTATAATACAAGCTTTAATCGTGCACATGCGAAGACAATCAAGAACAAGAGGAAAAGAAAAGTTTTTTCATATTCTATTTACCTCTCTAGATCCTCGTATCTTATGTGAATATTTGATATTGACAGCTTCAAGTTTCCCATGACTGTGTCGACCAATGATCCTATCCATGATTTGTTCTTATAAGAGATATAAGAAAAATACGGTAGTTAGTTTAGTACAATATTTCTCCCACACTATCTACTTCGAATGAGAAGCACTAGCCACACCATTTCCGTATGTAGTCTACGAGCTCTTTCTACTAGTTTCGTTTCCATTTCCTGCACATTGCAAACGGAAAAGTGATTCAATAACTCACATTAGATAATGGGAAATAATCGACCTATCTCACCAGTATTAGCTTTCTTTTTTTCTCTTGGATAGAATCCTCACTACATCCTTCAACATCAGTTGCGGGTTCGGCTAATACAAAAATTCGGTCAAGATAAACCACTACAGGTTCCTGGCCAAGCCTGCTCCACGGTACCTAAAATAATGATTTTAAAACGTATCAGTAAATGGGTCTACCTGAGTGCATAAATCTGTACAGTAGGAAGGAAAATTCATTGAAGAGATCCATGCCCAGAAAAAAAAGTAATATCAACTCCAAAAAAGTATATAATGTATGATACTGCGTCACTTACAGAGACTAGAACAAAAAGTGAAATACTATCTTTTAGCGAATGGATAGAAAGACTAAAAAAAATTAACACAGTCAAGCAGACATACTTTAGCTTAGATACGATGGATAGAAAGTAAAGCACAACACAACACACCTTGAGTTTGACTGATCCAAGAAATCCAGCTTTAACCTTCACAGGTAACTTCAAAGCATTAAGTGCTTCTGGTTTCAGTTGCATGTTTTTCAGCTCCACATCTCCTGCAAAAATAAGCAAAACCAAGAGCTAATTAACAAATGAGAAAACTAAAAACCCTTCCTTTTATTCAGTCGACTTGTTCTTAGTTGCAAACCGGAGAACCAACTAAGCATTTACGAAGAAACATCAGTACAATAAACCAATATAAACGATGAAAAAAGCTACGAAAATTGCAAGCAAGCGAACTTTCTCAATCATATTTGAATAGTTCCAGCCAGCTAAACTCCCAAGATGATGCATGAAAAATATCACAAAAACCTGAACTTTACTCCCACCCATCTGCCAAAAATCAAATAATCATGACTATTGACTTTTCCGTTTTATAGAAACTCGAACATAAACCCAATTCCATTACAAACAATATCCGAGTGAAGTTATGTTCATTCAACAAACTACAACGCAGCCACACAACATAGAATCTCACCAGCTCAATCAAATTCGCTACACAGTTGACACAACACAAATATTAAACGAGAAAAAAAAAATGAAGAAACCAATCAGACCTTGCCAGACACTGATCTTAAGGGCTTCCTTACTCAAACCCCTAACGTAGTTCCCCAAGTACCGTTGTAACAAGTACGCTACTTGATCTTCCAACATCTTCGTATCCTGCAAATCAATCTCACAAGTAAAACTGGGAATCAAGCAATCTAACAGAGACGATGCGTGAATAGAGAGGAAAACGAGTGGAATGGGTTCGATTTAGATCGGAGTAGAGAGCGGATTGAAAGGAGGAGGAGGAGGATGATCGTTTCCTCAAGAGCACGCTAGGAGGAGTTGGAATTGTGAATGAGTCATCACGACTTGGAGAGGAGTTACGCCTCCTCCCTATATGGAATATTAAAATATCCTCTTCCATTCTTGGCGGTGCTGCTTTTATTTATCAGTTGTTCCCTAAAAAACAAAATAAAACATCTTTAACTAAATATATGTATGCAAAATAAATTTTTGCCATCATACAAAAATACATTTAAATCTACCAAAACAACTGTTTCAAACATCGAGTTATTATAAATTTTAAATTTACTATTTAGATAATTTGATCATTTTCACAGATGTTTATGTCCGGTTTGCACAATATTAAAATAATTTATGTAATCTTTTTTATCAACTAGATGTTGTGTCTACAGATGCAGACATAATATTCCTATTGATATTTATTATTTTATATTTAATTAATTCAAAATTACATGATAAATTATTATTTATATTTTCAAAATTTAAATTAAAAATTAAATTGTTATATGACTACTTTTTATAAAATATAAATGCTTATTATTGTGTTCAAAACACTTATTTATTAGAAATATTTCTAAAAATATAAATATATTTATAAAAATAATAATTTATATTTAATTTTATATTTCTTATATCTTTATTTTTGTTTTTTATAGAAAATATTATACCAAATAACAACACAATATCTAAAAGATTTATCTTTTTTCTAAAACATGTATTTATTTTGACAATTATCATATTAATTTATAATCAATTATCTAATATAACATATATATTTTATATTATTATAATAACTTCATTTTTAATTATTAAATAAATTACATTATTATTCATTAAGGATATAAATGATATTAACCATACTAATTTTTAATTTAAGAACCTCATTGCGAAAAATCATTTTGTAAATAATAATATAGATCTACATAACTGAACTATCCAAGTTACCTAATATAAAGTTATCAATAAATCGTAAACTAAAACTATCTTTGTATTATTTCATTTTTATTATTAATTTATTTCTATTGAAAATAAATATGGTTATAATTCAGACCAAAAACCAAAAGTCAATTCTTATATTAGTGTTGAAGAGGAAACACATACATTTGCACGTGTATAACAGCACAATGTAACGCTTCAGATCCAACTGTTGCGGGCTTGTGTATGTATAGTGCGGTCTCATTGACTTGTATGGTCATCCATGTATGGTCTGACCCAATTGACACTTGTGCTTCTTTGTGTGTCTATTAGGCCTGGGTATTTTACCCGGACCCGAAGACCCGACCCGGAACCGGCCCGAAAATATGCGGTTCGGGTAGGAACCGAACCGATCATTTTACCCTATTGGGTCTTGATGTGGAGGACCCGCGGGTCTTGGACCCGAACCGACCCGAATCTGAGACCCGATGGGGTGCCCGAAATATCCAAAACATCTAGTATATATTATGTATATATATATATGTTTTAGTATTTTTATGGTATTATGAATATTATTTTATGTCTTGGATATGGATTTTCGGATATAATTACGGGTTTTAAGTAAAATTTTAGGTTTTTAAAATATAATTCGAATAATCAGATAAAGTTTTGGATATTTTTATGTATTCGGGGGAGGCTTTGTGTAAAATTTTGGGTATTTCTTGGATATTTAAATATTTTGCAGTATTTTTTGTGTGTTTTAGGTATTTTTTTGGGCCATACCCGGTAGGACCCGGACCCGAAACCGAACTGAATCCGAACCAATAAATTTTAATTACCCCATTGGGTCTAACTATATAAGACCCGAACCGACCTGGACCCGGTAGGACCCGAACCGAACCCGAATCGACAAAGTCTAATTACCCTATTGGGTCTAAATATCTAAGACCCGAAGGACCCGGACCCGACATAACCCGACCCGAACCCGATCCGAACCGGAAAATGCCCAGGCCTAGTGTCTATGATCAGAGCCGGTTTTGGAAGGAAGCCAATGAAATTTGTACTTCAGCCGCTGAAAGATTACTTTATGAAACACATGGAAAGTTCTCACTGTCAGTAGTTGGCTTGATGTTATAAGGGTTATGGATCGCAGGTTTGAGAGACTTCTGCTACGTTTTTTTAATTGGCTTCTATCCACATAATTACTAGGACCGGCTCTATCTATGATCGTTGTTATTGTAGCCGTCCTAAATTCATATAATATGTGGTTTTGTTGCATGATGTTCACATGTGCACCTTAGATGCGTAGACACTAGCTTTTGTAACATTTTCTAACAAGCATGGTAGCTCAGGTTCTGAATATCTTAGTTTTGGTCTTTCCAACATCATTCTCTAAATAATAAAACATGAAGAAAAAACCTATTATAATCATTCATTCACTCTGATTGTACCACTCTACTTATGTTTTATTCTGCTTTGAGATCATGTCAGCCTTTGAAGAAACTTGAACCTTTCCATAAAACTGATTGTATCACTCTACTTATGTTTCTCTTTGAATACAAGCTTTGATTTCTTCCAATATCTTATCTTTCATCTTAGGTACTATATGTTGGAATTCGTTTTTGACAAAGTGGTGTAGACTGTTTTTCTGATGGATTTTTCAACGGAAATGTCTGTCGGAAGGACCAGAATTTTGACACGATGTAATCGTCATCGTGAGGACAATGAGATAGTCTATTCATTTGTCTAAATTGGAATTGTTTTGAATAATAAATTAAGATCCAAAATGAGTAATATAAAAAGTTTATAAGACTTTAAATATAACAATTTATCAAACATATCATTTTGGACATTTGGATTTATTCATACAAAATGCAAAACCCATCTAATTATATAAAAGAGCCACCTCTCACTCATGAGAGGGCCATGTCACTAATTGGGCAATTGTTGTTGGACATCTGGATATGTCAAACGCTGTGTTTCACAGACTCCATTTATCTTGGGCTTCTATTGTTTCATGGGTTGTTACTTACCCACTCTCTGTGTAGCCTGTGTCGTCGCCCCCCCCCCCCAAAAAAAAAGGTTTGTCATTCTCTTTCTTCATGGCCGTTGATATCATGCATATTTACATAGTTTTAGCATTTCATTTTGTACATAAAACATCATATAGATTTAGGTTTAGACATCTTTAGGATCCATTTTGCGTTCATATCTCTTATCAGGTGTTGGAGTGCCAAGGTGTGATTAGATGGCTTGAGAAGTGCTTATGGGACAAGAATGGATGAATTGTGATGTTTGGTTGAGTGATATCCAGGCTGCCCCAGGCTGGTGCCAGCGGGGAAGCTACCCGCGCAGAAAAGGTGTGTTGGTCAAATGATGGCGCGGGGAGGATGATCCAGGGTCTTGTACCCGCTCGTCCCTGAAGAACCAGCACAAACCAAGTAGCTGGGAAATGCCAGCGCGGGTTGGGAGCCGCGGGGAGCCTTACCCGCTCGGCCAAAGAGAAGAACCTGACGACTAGCTTGCGCGGGTAAGGCTGCGTGGGGTCAGTCCTCGCCCATCACCCGGGCCAAGCTGGTTTAGCCTTGAAATTTCCTTTACTTTACTGTGTCCTTTTGATCTTTTTACATTGGAAATCCTTGTGTCTCCTAGACCATATAAATACTCATGTAATCCTTTTTGGTAATCTTATCTCATTTTCTCTCAAGAACTTTGCTTCATTTTTGTAAAAACTTGAATCTTTATATCAATTTAAGAAAGTTATTCATCTAAATTTCTTCATCTAAATTTCTTCTTCTCTTGCTCATTATCATGATTAGTCTTGACTCTCATATGGTTTTAAAGCATTTCATGGAGATGAGAGAGTAGTTAGCTTTGGGATTCATGGATTTAGGTGATTAGAGTGATTAGATGATGATCTTGGGTGTTTAGGGTTAGATTAATATATTTCTCTGCTTGTTGGGTACTCTCAATGCTAGTATAGTCATAACCACACTAAGTTAGACCTCTAGACATTTCCAGCCTACAAGGTGTTTGATGAAATTTGTGAACCAACCTAACCTTTCTCTTAGTTTACCTAACCAAAGACATTTGATGTTAAGGGAAGCCTAGCTAGTTAGTAGACTAGTACCTAATGATTTTTTTGATTGATCTAGACCAAATACATGTGATGTCTAGAGATAGAAAACAAATGAACATTCATCTTGATAAAGAGTTTGTTTAGGAAAGTGTGTAAACTTAAGGAAATGTATTGACTGATGTGATCTTTCTAGTTCTATGCTATTTACTTGATCTATATGCTAGATTATGATTACTCCTTCTTATCTAGATCATTAGGCATTTCCTGCCCACAAAGTGTATGATGAAATGCCTGAATGAAAGTATTTATGCTTTTTGCTCGCTTAGCCAAGGAAACTTGATGCTAGGGATGCTTATATGGTTATTAGACTTGTTCTCAATGATTGCTTGATTGATTTAGACCAAGGAAACTTGATGTTTAGAGATTGATAGCAAAGGAGCTTTTAACTTAAGGAATGACTAGTTTATGATTGTGTCTACACCTATAATACTTCATAGATTGCTTGAAACCTCACCCTAGATTGGATAATTACTTGAATTCAAATGCCTAATCCATGAGTCCTAGTTATTCTCATTGATTAAAAGTTAGTTTTGTGGTTGTTTCTTGATTGGATTTGAGATCACATTGTTTATATTTCTAGGAACTTAGCTTGTTACAAATCTTCCAATTCCTTATTTGCTTAGCTTAGAAACGTTTGTGTATTCTTAGTGTTATAGATCATTAGTTCTTTGTGGTTCGACAATCTTAACTACTACATTGATTTACTCTGAGGGCATAAAAACCTTTATCAGCCGTCATCAATGAACCCTAAGAGAATCCTAGGGCATCGGTTTCCTTTCTTAGCCTCGAAAGCATTGATCATCTCATTTACTTCTCATCCACGATCTCGTCTTCTATATGTCGACATCTTCTCAGAGACGTCCAGATCCTTGTGTATAAATAGGTCTGCATTTCTACACTGATAATCATCCTCATAGCTCTCCTACCATACAAATCTTTGAAATGGCTAACTCGAAAAACTTCTTCTCCGATTGAAGTCCGTCAGTGTTCATCCACTGTTGAGGCCCGTCTGCTCCGTTTCTGGGAGG